TGCACAAAATCACTGATTGAACCACAATGGTGTGGTAAAACAGCGCACTTTACTTCCAAGTACCGTTATTAACAACGCTATAGAACGATATAACTTAGTATGTATACACGACAGTGTCCAGGGTCATTATGCGCCAAATGGTTTCCCCCTGCGTACTTTAGATTCGTTAGCTTTGTTTTTGATCAGACCTTGTATAGATATGCGCCAGGAATCTTAGACGCGTGTGAAACGAACCCACGCATATAAACGTTACTTATAGGAAAACGCTATGATCATTTGTTCTAAACTATTATTTTACAAACAGTTTTAGTCGTATAAGAATGTTTTCGAATAAATGTGAGTATGCTATCAAATTCAGAATGAGACAAACAAAGGAAAGGTGAACATTGTCGTCAGCATTTCTAGTTTGTTTTTTTTTTAATTTTTTTTAAATGTTGCCTTTTTCTTTTTCATCTCCCCGTCCCCATATCGAAAGTGACTCATGTCATTTTCACTTTACCAATGTTTGAAGCCATTGTTTTGTAAATTTTAATTTTCTCTACTTTTTCGATTATCTTTTAATCTTTTAAAACACATTTTTTTTTTAATGTTGGTTCAGTTTACTTGGCATTTTTGTCCAATCCGGGCTAAAACGAATCAGATTAATTAAGCCGTCCGTTTGTTTATTTTCCTTATGTTTTTTAAAGTTTTATCTTTGGTTTATGAATGTTCTTATCGTTGTCGTGATGTTCAAATATTTTTTTTTCTTTGTTTATTTTCATTTTTTCTGTCATTAAGGAAAATTTTATTATTTTTTCCTATTTGTTTTAGGCATTGACTGTCTCGCACATATACATCATATGACTATGAATGCATGGTAATATATATGCGTCTGTTTGTGTCTGAGTTTCGCTTGTCCAATTTGATTTACGTTGAGAAAGTTCGCTATTCGCGTAAAAGATGTGTGTGTGTGTGTGTGTGTGTGTGTGTGTGTGTGTGTGTGTGTGTGTGTGTGTGTGTGTGTGTGTGTGTGTGTGTGTGTGTGTGTGTGTGTGCTTGGTGTGTTCTTATGTCATGACAATATACACAAGTAACGACACAAATTGACGCACTCATTTGTGTTGAGAGCGAATGTGGCAAAGAGATTTCCGTTTTGTCAAGAATATCTTTTTAAGATATTTTTCACCAATACAAGGCCAAAGAGCCACTCAAGTTAGAGGGCTGCGTAGATTTCTAAAATACATATAATGAGTCAGTCCAAATTGACTTCTACTAACACGAAAGGGTTCAGCTGTTGAATTTCAGGTGTAATGAATACTGAAGTTCGCATAACGAATAGGTGGCGAAATGTGGCAGAATGGTTAGGTGGCGAGAGGTGGCGGAATGGTTAGTTGGCGAGAGATGGCGGAATGGTTAGGTGGCGAGAGATTGCGGAATGGTTAGGTGGCGAGTGGTGTCGGAATGGTTAGGTGGCGAGAGATGGCGGAATGGTTAGGTGGCGAGTGGTGTCGGAATGGTTAAGTGGCGAGAGATGGCGGAATGGTTAGGTGGCGAGAGATTGCGGAATGGTTAGTTGGCGAGAGGTGTCGGAATGGTTAGTTGGCGAGAGATGGGGGAATGGTTAGGTGGCGAGTGGCGAGTGGTGTCGGAATGGTTAAGTGGCGAGAGATGGCGGAATGGTTAGGTGGCGAAAGGTGGCGGAATGGTTAGGTGGCGAGAGATGGGGGAATGGTTAGGTGGCGAGAGGTGGCGGAATGGTTGGGTGGCGAGAGGTGGCGGAATGGATAGATGGCGAGAGGTGGTGGAATGGTTAGGTGGCGAAAGGTGGTTGAATGGTTAGGTGGCGAAAGGTGGCGGGATGGATCGATGGCGAGAGATGGCGGAACGGTTAAGTGACGAGAGGTAGCGGAATGGTTACTTGGCGAGAGGTGGCGGAATGGTTAGGTGGTGAGAGATGGTGAGAATGGTTAGGTGGCGAGAGATGGCGAAAATGGTTAGCTGGCGAGAATGGTTAGTTGGCGAGAGAATGTGGAATGGTTACACAAGAGAAGAAAGGAGTCGGTTAAATGGAAGCCCAGCGGGGTTTTTTTTTTTCATTTCGCAATTTGAGAAATATAAAAAATTTAATTTTTTTCTATCTATCTAACTCTCTTGTCCTCAATATTCCCCGTGAAGTGTAACTATATAATTTTTACTATATCCACCTGTCTATTTTTGTAAGATCGATCTATCTATCTATCTATCTATCTATAGATAGATAGATAGATAGATAGATAGATAGATAGATAGATAGATATTTCTTTGTAAGATCTCCCTAATCCTTTGTTCAAAGTAGTAGGGAACATCAGCATCTTTATCTTGCCATTATTTTCTCTTCTATTTACATCTGTTATCCATTTTAATTGTTGCTCAAGTGATGCAGTTTCTTTTATTTGGTACAGTTTTTTTGTTAGGCATTCTGTAGATGTAGTCAACGAGGTTCAATGAAGGATTGTCCTCGCTAACATCTACAGGGTTGTTT